GTTATTTGAAAGTTACATAAAAATATTATAAATCACAATAATTAATAACTTAAAACATTTTTAAAAAAAATATGAAAATTTGGATGACTCTCCAAATTTCATTTGTGTCACATAAATTGAGACAACAAAAATAACATATATTGGGTCCATTTTAATTTATTTGTCTTATTTTTTTTAAATTTTTTATATTTAAAAATTGCGTAAAAATACTATAAATCATGATAATTGACAACATAAAATATTTCAAAAATAAATACATTTAAAAAAATTCGATTGATTCTTGAAATTAATCTATCGTTAAAAATTATGTATAAAATACAATAAATCGTGATAATTGACAACTTAAAATATTTATTAAAAAAACAGAAAAAAAAATTGACTGATTCTTAAAATTAAATCGTGATAATTGACAACATAAAATTGTTCAAAAATGTTGTATGTGGGTAGTCTTATTGTGCCTTGAATAGCGTCAAAGAAAGTACAGGTTTGTGATAAAAAAACTTATTCCTTTATCCACGCAAACAATCGCTTCAAAAATTTCGTTATTAGCCCCAAAACATACCATTTATGTTATTGGGCCCGTGCATAGCACGGGCAACAAAATCTAGTACATAATATAAGAAGTAGAAAAATGGAAAAATATCATACCTTTTTCTTTACTTCCATTTTACATGCATTTTTGTGATTCATTTGATTTGAAAGAAACATACATAATATAAGAAGTAGAAAAATGGTTTATATTTTTTACTTAATAATTATAGAATGTATATGTAATATGTTGGATGATCTCATAATTAACATCATTTGTTCACTTGGTAACTCAAACCCACAATTTTAAAATTAGATGCGAGCATGCTTGTAGTTACGAGCAACTCCTGACATTGAATATATATTAGTTGAAAGAATCTATTTCCTGGCTTCAAGATCGGTCTCCGACCCTCTTTCCTTCCCTTTTAAAATTGTTTTTCAATTTTTCTCATGTTGAGTAAGTAAGAAACTCGCATATTTTCCTTTGTATCAACCACACCCATATAGGGTCCAAGCTTGTAAAGGGAGATTAATTAAGGTCTCTAATCATGATATATGAAGAAGACATTTTAACGTAGTTTATGTAGATATAGATCTTGGTTGGCTCTACGTACATTTAAGATCTCAATATATCATGATACCGGGAAACACTTTTAACATAGAGGGCCGGCGTGTTCAATATGGAGGAATTAATAGATATTTTTTCAATTTTCTCATGTTCGATTGCTTAATGTTTTTTAGAAAATATATCGAACACAAGAAAAAGAAGTAATAAACCCACTTATTAGCTTTAAAAATATTATTTAAAAAAAAACCCTTTTCAGAAAATGATTTCCTTCTACCAAACACACCCATGGTTTGTGTAAATTTAATTATTCTCTAGTGTTCTCTCTATTCCGTTTAATTGAATATTTTGAGATTTTTTCATTGTTCAAAATAATTGAATTGTTCAAAGTTCAAGGTAGATGTTTGAAACTTTTTCCATATTTTTCCTTTAATTTATTGAAGTTTTATATTTTCTAGGAAATAAATTACATTACTTACAAAATTATATTTATGATTTCACAAAGGACAATAGTGGAAAGTATAATTTAAATTATCTCTTTGAATGTTTTTCTTATTATCTACCTCACAAATTCAGCTACTATGAAATTTTGAAATTATTGAAAATTTATTAGTGTATGTACTTGTGTGACGCTTTGAATAGCCTATAAGTCTGGTCAACGTAAGATATTTTAACATGTTAAAAATAATTTTAGGAGCTTGTAGATTAGCGGTAGAGCGAGAAATCTTGTATTTATTCAAACTAGTACCTATAAATTTTAACAGTTAACATACTTAACTCTTGCTTCTTGCCGTTTCTTTTACTTGTGTTTCTAATTTTTATCCTTATTTAATATGCATGTGATTAGTTGAAAAATCAATTTTGTAGATATTGAAGGCTGGTTCGAGGTTAGAGATTAAATGGAAAAAGGAGGAAAGTCATCATCTGTATGTCTATCAATACTTTTACATACTCCAAATTAAAGAAACAAGATAATTAGTTGTAGAAGAACTTCCTTATTGTTATTGCTGGAATGGAATAACAGAGATGAAAATAATGTTTGAATACCTACCTCATCAGAAACCTCCATGATCTACCAAAGTACTCTTCTTATTTGCTTCTCCCTCAGATGACTGAATACAACATTCTTCAGAAAGTATGCAAACATCTGAGAGATTTCTATCCTATCCTCGCGGCCAACAAAACAAGTAGTACTGAATATCTCTATCCTTGGTTCCAATTGACTGTTGATAGAGTAACAAAATTATGTTTTGATCTTTGGACTGGACAGTATAAAAGATATAATGACATCTCTCAATGCTCTTCCGTGATCACTTCTGTACTCATCGACATAATCCCTCTTGAGCTGGAGGTTCTATACATTTGTACTTTTAAGCTCATGAAAGAATCAAGCTCAACTCATGAACTACAAGTCTTTGTTAAGCAAATCCTAAAAGCATCTCCAAGGATTCTTCAAAATTATCTGATTCTTCTTCAAGGACGCATGGCCGGTGTAGTAACTGTCAATTATGCTCCAACTCAAAGCATTAATCTCATGATGGAGTTCCTATTGATCTTTCTAACCGATATACCAAAGAGCTTTATCCATTCTGGCAAATTGAACGATATGTTGGCACATATCAGAGTACTTACAAGGAAGATATCTATTCTGGTGAGCAAGCTGTTGGAGGAGAGCTCAGAGAATAATATCAATAAAGCGGATTTTTCAGCTCCAGACTTTTTGCAAGAAATTGAACGAATGAAGGGAGATATCAGACAGATTTTCTTGAAAGCCCCAGAGTCATCTCAACTTCGCTTTCCTATGGATGATGGTTTCTTCTTCATGAATATTCTACTCAGACATTTAAATGATTTACTCATTTCCAATGCTTATTCAGTTTCTCTGATAAAGAACGAAATAGGGATGGTGAAAGAATACCTTGAATTCCTAAGATCATCTTTCGGCAAAGTCAGCCAAACATTGGATGACACTAGTGGAGTAGTTAAAGATTGTTGGGTGCGTGCTTTAGATGTGGCATATGAGGGTCATTAATTGCATTCTTGTCAGAGATAAAGCTCTCTCGCATCTCATCTTCTCACTTCCGAGTGTCACTGATAAGATAAAGCTTATCGTGGCACAAGTCACCAGTTTACAGCTGGAGGATAAGAATGGGGATCACCCCCTTGATGCAAAGTCTTTCGTCGAGCCAATTGAGTCAACCTCATCACTTTTTGTTGAGGTAACAGTAGGTCCTGAGAAAGAAGAATCCCAGATCATTGACCAGCTCCTTGATGAACATGAATCTGAGCTTGATGTCATTTCGATTGTCGGAATGCCAGGACTCGGTAAAACAACTCTGGCTAAAAAAGTGTATAACAATACATTAGTTGCTAGTCATTTCAAGATTCGTGCTTGGTGCACTGTTTCCCAAAAGTATAACAAGTCAAAGGTGTTGTGGGAGATTCTTCAGCAAGTTACTGGCTCGGAAGAAAAAGGAAGTGAGGATGACCTTGCTGAAAAGCTACGAAGAGCACTACTCGATAAAAGGTACCTCATTGTCTTGGATGATGTGTGGGATATTGCAACAGGAGAGATGTTAATATCATGTTTTCCAAAGTTTAATAGAGGAAATAGAATTATTTTAACTAGCCGAATTAGTAAGGTAGGTTCGCAAGTTAAATGCCGTACTGATCCTCTCGACCTCCAAGTTTTAACACCTGAAAAAGTTGGGAACTATTCGAAAAAAGGGTATTTGGAGAAGGAAGCTGCCCTGCTGAACTGTCAGATGTTGGACACAAAATAGTTAAGAAATGTAAAGGACTTCCCTTGGCTATTGTTTTGATTGCTGGAGTAATTGTTAGAGGAAAGAAAAAGGAAAAGGATTTGTGGCTTAAGATTCAAGATAATCTGGATTCCTTTATTTCTGCCAACATCAATTTGCAGATGATGAAGGTTATGCAATTAAGTTATGACCATTGACCATACCACCTGAAGCTGTTGTTACTTTACTTCGCAAGATCTCAAAAGAACAAACGAACTCCGGTTTCTAAGTTAAAGCAGTTGTGGATGGCCGAAGGGTTGGTGGATCATGATATCCCATCCAAGAGTAGTTTAGAGGAAGTAACTCAAAGTTACTTGGATGCTTTAATTTCCAGTAGCCTGATAATGGTTGATCATATCCTCTGCAAGAAGAGTATGCCTTTTTCTGTTAGGATCAAGGTTTGCTATGTGCATGATGTTGTGCACGATTTTTGTTCAGAAAAAGCCAAAAAGGCAAAGTTTTTCAAGTTAATGAATTCAGGTGCTCGATTTCATGCTTCGGATTTCCTACACCATCGTCTAACCATTCATTCTAACGACGGTCAACTCCACAAAAGATGTACGTTATTCAATTATAATAAGTGTTCAGCTGGTAGTAAGCATCTCATATCTTTGAAAGTTAGCGGTTCGCATCTCAACTCCAGGTATATCTGTCATACAAGCCCCTTTGGACTTGCTAGAGTGTTGCAACTGGATAGGGTTATGCTGGAAGACTCTTTAATGGAAGAAATAGGGTCCCTATTTCATTTGAGGTTCTTAAGGATTCGGACTCTTGATGTAAAAGCTATTCCACTGTCGTGGTTGAACCTCCAGAATCTGGAAACTCTGATCATCAAAACGAGAGTTTCCATCATTGTTTTACTGCCCAGAATATTCAAACTGTCAAAGCTGAAACATGTGAAAATTGACTTTTGTTCTTTCTTTGAAGTGGAAGAGGAGGAGGAAGAGGAAATGGATGTGGACAATATTATGCATCAACCAAAGTTAGAGCACTTGACAACTTTATCCAAAGTTGTTATGTCAGATCATGAAGCCACGAGTGATGTTCTGGAGAAGTTCCCAAATCTTCAGCACCTTCAGTGCCACATCAAGGAACCTATAGATCCACCTACACACGGCTATTGGTTTCCGAAGCTTGATGTCCTTAATAAACTTGAATCACTCATTGCAATGTACGAAGATATCAGAAGCTATGAATATCCCGAGTTAACAGACAAAATCCGACAACCCAATGAATATTACTTCCCTAACAACTTGAAAGAGTTACAGTTGTATAGCTTTCCCCTGCTGAGACCTGATTTGTTGTCAGCAATCGCAGCATTGCCTGAGCTTGAAATTCTAGAGTTTATGCACTGTAAATTCGTGGAGGATGAGTGGGACGCAAGTGAGGGCATCTATCAAAGTCTTAAGACTCTGTCTTTGCTAATGGTCAACCTTTCAGAATGGCAAGTTGATACGGAAACTTTTCCCAAACTTGAGGAATTAATACTAAAACATTGTGACCATCTTTGGGAGATCCCTTGTGCATTTATGGATATACACACTTTAAAGTCCATTCATTTAACTAATATTAATCCTGAACTTGAAGATTCAGCCATTAAGATTAAGAATGATATAGCAGCTTACACAGGAGAGGACAGACTTCAAGTCCATATATCAGATGTGTATGAAGAAGAAGAGGATGAAACAGAGGTAATTAATTTCTTACATCTTTACCCCTACATACATATATACTTCATTTAATTAAAATCATATACTTATATAATTTGCAGAATGCCCAAAGCACACAAGGATAGAACAACAATGAAGAAAGAAACAACTCATTTGCATTTGCAGTCTCAGTTCATCTGATTAATAGTTCTAATAAATTACAAACTTGTTACTACTACTAGTTTTTTTTCCTGCGTGGTTCTGGAGATATGTTAAATTAATGTTTTGAGTGTTTCCTTTCATGTTTTGTTATTGGAAGGTTTTAATACCAAATTTTATGTTCCAACTGGCCTGAATCTGATGAAGAACAGTGACCAAATGTATTCTCCAAACCTCATTTTTCTTAAGAAAATAGTAGTTTCTCAAATTGAAACGAAGACATTATACATAAATTTATGAATCAAAATCAACTAGATACATAAAAAATCTAAACCTTGGGTAGAGAAGGGTGTTGAAACGAAGACATTATATATTAAATTATGAATCAAAATCAACTAGATACATTGAAAATATGAAGCTTGGGTAGAGAAGAGTGTTTAGTAACATATTCTACTTCCTCCTTTTCTTTTTTTGGAATCTTTCTCAATGGATAATTTAGAACTTGCAATGCATCTTTCATCGATTTTATTGAGATTAAAGTATAGTTAGTTAGTTAACCGAATCTGTTATTATGTACAGTTGTCATGTTAGTTAATAGTTAGTTAGAGAGCTTTAGATATTTTACTCTTCCTTTTGTATTCTGTATAAATATTGATGTGTACAGTCAGTAAGAATCAATCAGAATTGGAAATTTCACAAACCATCTCTTCTCTCTTACTTCGAGTTCCAGATATTCTCCATTAATGGAGTTTCCTGATTCACTAAATCTCCAATATTAACATGGTATCAGAGCTTGGACGTTATGTTCCTTCTCTTTACACTCCTTCTTAGTTGTGTTTGCGTCATCGATTTCGAGATCTTCAATTCCAGATCTATTTCTCTTATCGATCTAATTCTCTTCTCTTTTCAACTGGTATTTTTTTTTTCCTCTCTGATAACTACTTCATCATGGTGGAACTCACGAATGAGGGATCGTCTGCTGGAATTAATACGGGATCGTCTACTGGAATTGATACAACAATCACCTCTACATTCATCCATCTGATAGTCCTGGTGTGGTACTTGTACCTGTCCCTTTCGATGGAACTGGTTTTCATTCCTGGCGAAGAAGTGTCCTCAGATCTTTGTCCGTGAAAAACAAATTGATTTTCATCAATGGTGAATGCAAACGCCTACCTAAAACTGATCCAACTTATCGCCAATGGGTGAGATGCGACGATATGGTCACGTCGTGGATTCTTAATTCACTAGGTAGAGAAGTTGCGGATAGTGTCGAATATGTGGGTGATGCTTTGGAATTATGGACAGAGCTAGAAGATTGCTATGATCAGACGAATGGAGCACAGCTGAACCAAACTCAGAAAGAGATCAACGATCTTAGTCAAGGTATTCTCGATATCACCACATACTACACTAGAATGAAGAAACTCTGGGAAGAACTTAACCGTTTATGCATTACCAGTCAATGCAATTGTGTTTGTATTTGTGGAGCTAAAACTAATCTTCAAAAGGCAGAGCAGGATAGGCGCCTAATTCAGTTTCTTATGGGGTTAAATGAAGTCTATACCATAATCAGGGGTAGTATTTTAATGATGAACCCATTGCCTTCTATGGCACAAGCCTTTGCATTGTTGGTTCAAGAAGAAAAACAAAGAGAGTTCAAGCCAAACAATCAATTGTTTGTTGAAGGAAGTTCATTGCTGGCTGGGTCCTCAAGTTCCTCAAATTCATCAGGAGGAAGGAATTTTACAACAAACTACTCTTCTTCCAACATCACCAACAATGCACCTAGGGGTAGACCTTACTGTGATTACTGCAGAAGGCTAGGTCATACCAGGGTTAAGTGTTACAAGTTACATGGATATCCTCCTGGTCTAACTACTAACAATCCCAGACCTACTAATCATGATCCACAACACCAAAACCAAAGATACAACAACCAGAACTCCAGTCATAGGAACAACAAGGGTAAGGGTATAACAACTAATTCTGTCAGTTTGTCTTATGATATCCCTGGAAATCAAGATGAATCCTCAGAGTCTCATTTTAATGACCAAGGAAACAACATCAACCTCACCAGAGAGCAGTATGAACAGGTTGCTCACTTGCTGCAACAATTCAAAGAATTCAGCCCCATGGAGGATCAAAATGCTATGCACATGACAGGTGGAGCTGTGAACTTTGCAGGTACTCTTACTTGTTCTACTTCCATTGACTTTGACAAACTTTCTTGTGAATGCTTCAAAACAAGAACTGATCTATGGATATTAGACTCAGGAGCCTCTCACCATATGACTTTTGACAGAAATCTCCTTGTGAACCTGATAACCTTACCCTATCCTCTCTTGGTCAGACTACCTAATGGATATAGAGTTAAGATTACAGAGATAGGTAGTGTGTGTCTAACTTCCGAGATCACTTTGTACAAAGTACTCTATGCTCCTTCTTTTAAATTCAACTTAATTTCCATAAATACTCTAGCTGATAGTCTAAAATGTACTGTTTCTTTCTCTAATACTTCTTGTCTAATGCAGGCCCCTTCACTGAAGAGGCCTCTGGAGATTGGTAAAGCACATGATGGCCTATACTTCCTTTGCTCAGATTGCTTGCAACAGAACAATTCTAGTCATCCAAAACAACAACATGTTTCTTGTATTTCCTTTTCTAGCTCTAAAATACAGTACAAGTGTATTTCTTCTTCCTGTCCTTCTTATTCTGCTGTAATGAATTCCATGTCTATCAATAATAAAGACAATGTTGTTGATAAAACTTCTAGTTCTTTTCCTGTTAATAACACAGACCTGTTATGGCACTATAGATTAGGACATGTTCCCTTTGTAAAAATGAAAGGCATATCCTCTATACCTGTAAAATTCTCACCTAAACAACCATTTTTTTGCCCCATTTGCCATATGGCAAGACAATCAAAACTACCCTTCCTTACCAGGTCTCATAACAGTACTAGCATTTTTGAGCTGGTACATGTTGATTTATGGGGTCCTTACCACACAACCACCCATGATAATTTCAAATATTTCATTACCATGGTAGATGATTTTAGTAAATCCACCTGGACACATCTTCTCAGCTGTAAAAGCAATGCTTTGCATGTTATCAAAGCCTTTGTCATCATGGTTGAAAACCAATTCAGCACCAGTGTCAAAGTAATCAGATCAGATAATGGCCTTGAGTTCACCAATAATGAGTCCATCATGTTTTTCCAGACTAAAGGAATTATTCACCAAAAATCCTGCCCATACACACCCCAACAAAATGGGGTGGTGGAAAGAAAGCACAAATATATCCTTGAAACAGCAAGAACCCTCATTTTTCAATCAAAACTCCCAATGAAGTACTGGGGTGAATGCATATTAACTGCAACACACCTGATAAACAGACTACCTTCCACCTCTCTCATCAATAAATGTCCTTATGAAGTTTTGCATCAACACAAGCCTGTGTACTCTAACCTGAGGAGTTTTGGCTGCCTTTGTTACCCCACTATACCCAAAGCCCACAGAACCAAGTTTGATCCCAAAGTTGTTCCCCATATCTTTATTGGATATCCTTCATGTACAAAGGGATACAAAGTGCTAAATCTAACCACTAAGAAAATTCATATCCTCAGGGATGTTATCTTTCATGAGACAATTTTTCCTTTTGCTCTGACCAATAATCCCACTCATTTTCCTGCATCTCCTTTCCATTCTGTAGGCTCATCTGATTACTCCTATTACCACCATCCCTCCACACCTGTAGAAAGTGATCCAGGTCCTGTAAACAACACTAATCAACCTCTGTCACCAACACTTTCTACTCCAACTACTTCTCCAATTGGTCCTTCTAATCCCACCATGTCATTCACTCTACCTCATACTTCCATACCTATTTGCCACCCTACAAGACCTGCCCTTAGAAGGTCTCATAGGATACATAGAGTACCTCCTTACTTGTCTGATTATGTCCATAGAACACCTCCAGTTATTTCCTCCCAACCTCCTACATCTCTCAATGCTCATTTTTCCCTTAACCACTACATATCACCTGCTGCTCTAAATCCTGAAAGTCAGTCTCTTGTAATGAATGTTTCTCATGATTGTGAGCCTACTTCATATGAGGAGGCAGCTACAGACCCTTCTTGGCAAACAACTATGACACAGGAATTCAATACATTACATGACAACAATACATGGACCCTCACAACCTTACAAATTGATAAGAAGGCCATTGGGTGTAAGTGGGTTTACAAAATCAAACACAAGGCAGACGGGAGTGTAGAGAGATATAAGGCCAGATTGGTAGTGAAAGGATATACTCAACATCATGGTATAGATTACACAGAAACTTTCTCACCTGCTGTTAAAATGACAACTGTAAGGACACTCATTGCCACTGCAGAAAAAAAACAATGGAATATATATCAATTTGATGTTAATAATGCCTTTCTCCATGGATATTTGCATGAAGAAGTGGACATGGATATACCTCCTGGTTTGTCTGTTCCTACCACAGGCATGGTCTGTAAACTCAACAAGTCACTATATGGTTTGAAACAAGCTAGTAGACAGTGGTATGAAAAACTAACTGAAGCTTTAAACACAAGAGGGTACACTCATTCTCTCCATGACTACTCCCTATTTTACAGAAAGAGAGGCACATCTACTGTGTTTCTAGGTGTGTATGTTGATGATATTCTGCTCACATGAACAGATATTGATGAGATAACTGAGCTCAAGAAGTTCCTTCATCATCAGTTTAAGATCAAAGACCTAGGCAGATTACACTATTTTTTGGGTTTGGAAATTTTATACAAGGATGATGGGATTCTTATTTCCCAGAGGAAGTTTGTACAGGATCTTCTCAAAGAATTCAGTTGTGATCACTCCACTCCCTTGTCTTCTCCCCTTGATCCTAATGTTAAGCTGCGAGCACATGAGGGAAAGGGACTAGATGACCCCACTCAATACAGAAAACTGGTTGGCAAACTCAATTTTCTTACTAACACTAGACTTGATTTGGCTTATGGTGTGCAATTCCTTAGCCAGTATATGCAGGATCC